CAGGCTGCAAATATGTATGGCATATTACTGTATTGAATACCATAGACAAATGTAACATAATCATATCTCCGAATCTAAACATATGTAAACATAAAAAAGTACAGTAAAAATATGGTATGAAAGATTTTTTTTAATGGTACACCTGTATAAGGCATTTACCATGAATGGAGTTCGCAGGGCTCATAGGTGCTCTGGGTGAGTCAGTGAGTGGATGTGAAGGCCTAGGACATGACTGGACACTACTGTAGACTTTGTAAACACTGTACAATTAGGCTACCCTAAATTTATAAAATTAGCCTTATAACTCTTTTACTTTGTAAACTTCTAAACTTTTTAAAAAGTATTGACTCTTTTGTTATAACATTTAACCCAAAAACATTGTACAGCTGTACAAAAATACTTTATACTCTTTCTTTATAGTATTTAAAGTAAATCCTTTCTTTATACTCTATTCTACAAGCTTTTATTCTATTAAAATTTTTTCTTTTCACTTCTTAAACTTTTTAGTTAAAAACTGAGACACAAACACAAACATTGGCCTAGACCTACACAGGGTCGGGACCAGCAACATCACTGTCTTTCGCCTCCACCTTTTATCCCACTGGAAGGCCTTCAGGGGCAGTAACACACATGGAGCTGTCACCTCCTCAGGTGACAGTGCCTTCTTCTGAAATACTTCCTGAAGGACCTGCACAAGGCTGTTTTACAGTTAATTAACTTGTTTTTTATAAGTGGAAGGAGTATACTCAAAAAATAACAATAAATAGTATAGTAAATCCATATACCAGTAACAGCCATTTATTATCAAGTATTATGTACTTAATAATCCTGGCAGCACAGGAGGTTTGTTTGCACCAGCATCACTACAAGCGCATGGGTAACGCGTCGCACTATGACATCACGAGGCAGTAGAAATTTTTCAACTCTATCATAATCTTATGCGACCACCATCGTATATGCGGTCCATCGTTGACCAAAATGTCTGTATAAAATGCATGACAGTGTTTATTACTGATTATCTTTCTCCTTCCTCTACTACCAGATGTAAACCCATTGGAGTTTTTATCGCCTTTTCGGTTGTTCACTAATATCCCCAGATTAGTGTCTGGTATTTACTAGGTGCTCAATAAATATCTGTTAATGGCTTAATAAATGAATAATCCTTTTGCCTCTTGTGAATACCCAAGTAGTCATAAATAGCCAAGACAAAGTGATTATTTTATAATAGAATCCCATTTATTAAAATATAAAGATTCAGACTGGGCATAGTGGCTCATGCCTATAATTCCAGTGCTTTGGGAAGCCACATTGGGAGGATTGCTTGAGCCCAGGAGTTTGAGACCAGCCTGAGCAACATAGCGAGACCCAGTCTTTACAAAAAATAAAATAAAAATAAAATTAGCCAGGCACAGTGGCATGCACCTGTAATCCCAGCTACTCAGGAGGCTGAGACGGAAGGATCGCTTGAGTCCAGGAGGTCAAGGTTAGAGTGAGCTATGATTACACCACTGCACTTCAGCCTGGAGAATAAAACTAGACCCTATCTCTTAAAATACATCATATAAACAAAAATAAAAAGAGAAAGATTCAGGATACAGTCATCCTATTTTTCAGGTTCAATGATTGCAGACTCTTAAAAGGCTTATAGATTCAACCTGACATTTTATGTCTTGATCCGACTCTATGATGCCTGATGCCAAAAATTCCCATGACAGCTCAATTCCTTGTTAAGCTGGGCAGCAAGCAGGGATGTAATCAGAGCACAAAACCATAATGTAAGTGATCATCAAAACTGGTTTATATTTTCTTCATTCACCTCTATTAGCTTTGACTCTCAAACAGAATTCAAGTTTGAATTGGTTTCTAACCCCTCATGCAAAAATGTAGGTAGCAACAAACCTAACTTGAATGAATACTTGCATTTTACCATGTTATTTGGAGTAATAACAGCCAGAGAGAGAGACCCTCCAGCTGCAGAGGGTCGGGGTCTATGAGTTCCTTGAAAGCTGTTGATTATGGGATAAGCCGCCTTTCAACAAGCCTTGTAAGTCAGAAATTGTGTTTTCTTAGGCTCTTGGACAAAAAAAAAAAAATCCCTGTACTTCATAACCATTCAATGGTTATATTTTAGGTAAATTTATATTTTGTCAAAAAATTCACTTACTCATTTCTATTTACAAGTAAGCCCAGAGGGATATCTTTCTTTTCCATTTCTCTTATTTATCTTTTCCATAATTAAAAATAAACTCTGATGCTACTAGCTCATTTTAAATCAAATATATATTTGTTTTTTCCTATCTTTGTTTTTATTTTTTTTTTCAACATTCTGAGGAAACCTTTAAGCTAAGAGGTCGAGGTCATAGCCTAGGTGTTGATAGCTGCTGCCATAGCAAAACAGCATATTAAATCAAGATGGTTTAATATATCAGGTAGCCTGAAGTGGAGAGGTGTAGGGAGGAGGGGAGGGATAACCCTTATCATTTGTGTGTTCACGTTTACTCTTCTGATTTTAATTAAATAAGATGCATTTTATTTTAGAAAAGGCTGAGAAATTTACCTTATAAATAAGAGTTTTAGTTCAAGGGCTGAAAACTACAAGGATGTAGCCCCTTTCTTGGCCCTTAACTATTCTGAAGTATTAGTTTTTGCTCTAGGAGAAAATTCTGCCCTGGACATCGAGCACATAATCTTCACTAACGTTGTACAAAGCTGTGCCACTTCTTTAGAACATTTGTAACATGGGTAGCACCTGAGGTCACTAATAGGCAGAGAAATTAACAGTTAAATAGGAGCTAACTGAAATATTTATGGAGCTGGTGAAAGAACCATTACAACTGAGGACACATGGCTTGTGCCATATATAATTCAGCCTTATTTCAAAGAACAATTTATTTTTTTTTATTTCAAAAGACATTGTACTTCAAACATTTGTATAATGTTACAATGGCTCCCCATAAAGGGAATTTATAAACTTGTGTTGAATGCCTCACTCTATGTTTGGGACTAGAGAGAATCCGTGCATAGCCATTATTGTGAGTTAATAATCGAGTGGAGACATCTAAACAATACAGAACAAAATAAAAATTGCAGAAATGTACTACCAATGTGTACCTTTGTTCCCTGAGGCTAATAAAGGTCAGGCAAATACAAAGGCCTTCAATATTTATTTATTATTTTGAACAAAAGGACTGAGTCACAATCAAACCAGAGAAGGGAGCAATGTATTTTGGCAGGCAAAGCTGGGAAAGGTCTTATGGAAGAAATGTTACTGACCTTGAAAAATGAGTAATTTTGATTCAGGGAGAGGGAGAAGTAGCATGGGAAGAAGACAGGGAAGGGTGTAAGTGCATGGCACATCCAAGAGAGCCAGGAGAGTGCAGCGAGGTGCAGGCTTCATAGAAAGTCAACGGAGGAAGATGAGGGTGGGAAGGGAAGCTGCAGCCCTTCACCAAAGCATTAAATTCCATAGAATGGAGTTGGCATTCTATTTTCTGGATAGTAAAGAGGTTTTTTAAGGGCAGAATGATATATTCACTTCACTATTTTTGGAAAATGATTCCGAGGATAGTGTGAAGGATGGATTAGGAGATGAAGCTGGAAATAGGACCTTCAGCTAGGAAGCGAATGTGCTGTCAGTGAGGGATAATGAAGGCCTCATTAAGATAGGAGCTGAGGAAGTAAGAGGGCATTCTGAGGGGCCATTGACCACTCACAGGGAGAAGAATTCATAATTGTATGTGGAGAATAGGGAGAAATCAAGGATGGGATCTAAGAAGAACTGACAGTTCTAACCATGGTGACTTGGAGAAGATGATAGGTCCTGGGTTCCCCGGTGAGACTGGAGTTTCTGGAAAGTCTCATGTTTTCATTTCATGACCATGCCTGGCTACAATGCATGAGTAGTATTTTCCAACTCCTCTCAATATTATGAAACATAGTTTTTTATTGTCAAGCCACAAATCCGTTTGATAAAAGTAAACCATTCAAAAGAAAGATTAGGCCAGGCATGATGGTTCACATCTCTAATCCCAGAACTTTGGGAGGCTGAGGTGGGGGGATCACTTGAGCCCAAAAGTTCAAGACTAGCCTGGGCAATATAGCAAGACCCTATCTTTACAAAAATAAAAATAATTAGCCAGAAATTGTGGTACATGCTTATAGTCCTAGCTACATGGGAGGCTGAGGTGGGAGAATCTCTTGAGAACAGGAATTGAGGGTTTCAGCAAGCTATGATTATGCCACTGCACTCCTCCCTGGGCACAGAGCAAGACAGACTCTGTCAGAAAAAGAAAGAGAGAAAGAGAGAAAAAGAAAGAAGGAAAGCAAGAAAGAAAAAGAAAGAAAGCAAGAGAAAGGAAAGAGAAAGAAAAGAAAGAAAGAAAAAAGAAAGAAAGAAAGAAAGAAAGAAAGAAAGAAAGAAAGAAAGAAAGAAAGAAAGAAAGAAAGAAAGAAAAAAAGAAAGGAAGGAAGGAAGGAAG